GCAAGGAGGCCCAGTGCATCCCGGTCACACAATGGGGATCAGCTCAGGGTTCCGGGGTTTGTGGGTTGGAAGGGAGAGGAGGGGGAGGGACAAATGGAACGCCCCCCCCCCCGTTGCAGTGGTGTTGGGGATCTGGGAAGACCCGGGAGGAAGGCTGAGAGACCGCCATTTCACTCGGCCTCAATCCAGCAAGGCGGAGGCATCCGCACTCCATCCCCTTCTGCAGAGGGGCGACACCACCCCCTCCCTGCACATCTCTCCGGAGTTTGGAGGAACGGTCCCTCACATGTGCATTGCACCGGCACCCATGGGAGCTGCCCAGGGACGCTGCCAGCCTCGTCCCACCTGCCTCTGGCTTCGCTTGGCTCACCCCAGGGCTTGCTCTCACCTTTGGGTTTATAAAAGATGGCCACCCGTGGTGGGTCTCCCAGGAGGGAGAAAGGTCGATGAGCTGGGCATGGGCCTTCCCATGGGTGCCGATCCCAGTGGTGGCAGGACGCTGGTCTTTCTCTCTTGCCTTCCCCTATACTTTACTCTGAGGAGAACGCAATTGGCGTTACTTCTGCTTCATTTCAGGACATGGTGCACCGCCTGGCGAAATCTCCATAAATCCAGGCTGAAATCCCAGCTACACTCAGACAACTGAAAAGGATTCTCTACTCCCCTCATGCAGTGGGAAAGGGTTGGCACTCCAGGGGCTGAAGCAGAGGCAGCTGGATTCTGAGGATTTTGGAGTGGGATCGGCTGCCCCCTCCTGGCAACATTTCTGCCTTGCCTTTGTTCTTATGCAGGTGGTTTGCAGGAGAGGGAGATCCTTGAGCATCCTTCGGCATTGTCAGCATCAAGAGGGAGCATCAAGTGCAGAGAGAGAATTTAAAAGCCTGCAGGAAAAAGAGGAAGTGTGACACAGAGCAGGTAAAGAAAAAGGGAAAAGGAACAGCAGGCCGGGGAATGGGTTCATTGTGCGCTAAAAGTGGACAAGTCTTAGGTATCCCTTGAGTAGATTAATAATCTAACCAGAGGAATGTTGATCAGGAAATCAGTTGTTGTTGTTGTTGTTGTTAGTCACAAAGTGATATCTGACCCATCACGACCCCAAGGACAACATTCCTCCAGGCCTTCCTCTTCTCCACCATCCCCCGGAGTCCACCCAAGCTCACACCCACTGCCCCAGTGACTCCATCCAGCCACCTCATCCTCTGCCATCCCCTTCTTCTTTTGCCATCTGTTGTTCCCAGCATTAGGCTCTTCTCCAGGGAGTCCCTCCTTCTCATTAGGTGGCCAAAGTATTTGAGTTTCATCTTCAGGATCTGGCCTTCTAAAGAGCAGTCAGGGTTGATCTCCTCTAGGACCGACTGGTTTGATCGCCTTGCAGTCCAAGGGACTCGCAAGACTCTTCTCCGGCACCACAAATGAAAGGTGCTCAGTGCTCAGCCTTCCTTATGGTCCAGCTTTCACAGCCATACATTGCAACTGGAAAAACCATAGCCTTCAGTGTAAGCACTTTTGTCGGCAGGATGATGTCTTTGCTTTTTAGTATTCTATCAATATTTGCCATAGCTTTCCTTCCCAGGAGTAAGCGTCTTTTAATTTATTGGCTGCAGTACACGTCTGCGATAATCTTGGAGGCCAGGAAAATAAAATCTGTCACTCCCTCTATTTCTTCCCAATCTATTTCCCAGGAAGTAGGAGAACTGGATGACATGATCTTTGTTTTCTTAATGTTGAGTTTCAAGCCAAGTTTTGCGCTCTCATCCTTCACCCAAATCAAGAGGCTCTTTAGTTCCTCTTCACTTTCTGCCATTTGAGTCATATCATCTGCATATCTGAGGTTGTTGATACTTGTCCCAGCAATCTTAATTCCAGCTGGTGATTCATCCAGCCCTGTCTCTCTCATGATGTGCTCCGCATATAAGTTAAATAGGCAGGGCAACAGCCTTGCTGAATTCCTTTCCTAATTTTGAACCCATCCGTGGATCTGTGTCCAGTTCTCACTGTTGCTTCTTGACCCGCACATAGGTTTCTCAAGAGACAAATAAGATGGTCTGGTGCTCCCATCCCTTTAAGAACTTGCCACAATTTGCTGTGATCCACACAATCAAAGGTTTTAGCATAGTCAAGGAAGTAAAAGTAGACATTTTTCTGGAACTCCCTAGCTTTCCCCATGATCCAGAGTATGATGAAAATTTGATCTCTAGTTCCTCTGCCTCTTTGAAATCCTGTCTGTACTTCTGGTAGTTTTTGGTCCACATACTGCTGGAGCCTAGCTTGTAGGATTTCGAGCATAGCTTTGCTAGCATGTGAAATGAGTGCAATGGTGCAGTAGTTTGAGCATTCTTTGGCATTGCCCTTCTTTGGGATTGGAATGTAAACTGACCTTTTCCAATCTTGTGGCCAGTGTTGAGTTTTCCAAATTTGTGGCATATTGAGTGGAGCACTTTTACTGCATCATCTTTCTGGATTTTGAATAGCTCAGCTGGAAAACTGTCTCCTCCACTAGCTTTGTTGCTGCTCAGACTTCCTTAGGCCCATTTGACTTCACATTCCAGGATGTTTGGCTCGAGGTCAGTGACCACCCCATCATGTTTATCAGGGACGTTAAGCTCCTCTTTGTATAGTTCCTCTGTGTAATCTTGCCACCTCTTCTTAATCTCATCTGCCTCTTTTAGTTCCCTGCCATTTTGGTCCTTTATCATGCCCATCTTTGCATGAAACATTCCCTTCATATCTCCAATTTTCTTGAAGAGATCTCTGGTCCACCCTTTTCTATTGTTTTCTTCTATTTCTTTGCACTGTTCATTTAAGAAGGCATTCTTGTCTCTTCTAACTATTCACTGGAATTCTGCATTCAGTTTGGTGTATCTTTCCTTTTCTCCCTTTCCTTTCACTTCCCTTCTTTCCTCAGCTATTTGTAAAGCTTCAGACAGCCATTTTGCTTTCTTGTATTTTTTTTCTTTGGGATGGTTTAAGTTGCTACCTCTTGTACAATGTTGCGAACCTCCGTCCATAGTTCTTCAGGCACTCTGTCTATCAGATCTAATTCCTTAGATCTATTTGTCACCTCTACTGTATATTCACCACGGATATAATTTAAAGAATACCTGAGTGGCCTAGTGCTTTTCCCTACTTTCTTCAACTTAAGCCTAAATTTTGCAACCAGAAGCTCATGATCTGAGCCACAGTCAGTTCCTGGTCTAGTTTTTACTGACTGGATAGAGCTTCCCCATCTCTGGCTGCAGAGCACATAGCCAATCTGATTTCTGTGTTGACCGTCTGGTGATGTCCATGTGTAGAGTTGTCTCTTGGGTTGTTGGAAAAGAGTGTTTGCTATGACCATCGTATTCTCTTGACAAAATTCTACCAGCCTGTGCCCTGCTTCATTTTGTACACCAAGGCCAAACTTGCCAGTTATTCTGGTTACCTTTTGGCTTCCTCCTTTTGCATTCCAATCCCCCACGATGAGAAGGGAATCATTTTGGGTCTTAATTCTGGAAGGTGTTGCAGGCCTTCACAGAACCGGTCAGCTTCAGCCTCTTCCGCACCAGTGGTTGGGGCACAGACTTGGACTACTGTGATGTTGAATGGTTTGTCTTGAATTTGAACTGAGATCTTTCTTTCATTGTGGAGATTGTATCCCAAGAAATCAGTAGGTATTAGAAAGCACTGGGGGAGAAAACCCATCAAAACGATACCAGTGGAATGAGGTTTTTGGCACGTGGAAGTCTTTCTCCAAGTGGAGGCCGAAGATGACAAAAATACCTGGAATGAGAGAGTATCTCCAGCTTCAGCCATCATCATTTGTACCATGATAGAACTCCCACTGGGGAGAAGCCATTGGAATCCTGGGATAGCTTACGTTTATTCCACTGTGCAAAGTAGAGACAGGTGAGGGAGGCCCGAACTGCATCTGACCAGGTGGTATCTCTGCCTCCAAGCTGGGGGATCAAACACAGTGAGACCAAATAAATGCCTTGACCTGCTTCTGCTCCCTTTAGAGGCAACTCATCTCCAGGAATCGGGGGAAGGTTATGTGTCCTTCTGCACTGGAGCTGAAGGGGGCCATAGGCCTTGCATGGATGGCACTTCTTTGCAGCGCTGGCAGCTGAAGGATAGATGTTTCCTCCCCTTTTCTGGCCAGCCACCTCTCCCCTCCCTCACAGCTTCCACTGCACCCCAGAGCATTCCTCGGGACAACCCCTTAAGTGGGTCACCAGGCTCCCGATCCAGCTTGTGATCTGGATGGGGCACAAGTCAGCCAGAGAGTGGTTGCATGAGAGGGATGGAACCTGCTCCCTCTGAGGTCGGGTGCTCTGAATGCTCTCTGTGCAAGTCACAGCCCTGGAAATTAGTTTTGCTTCTCACTGCCAAACTCCTTGGGGGAACTGAGCTCAGTTATATGTCAGTGAATGTGTTGGGGTATGACTTATGTGTCAATGTAGTCCTTGAGAAAGCTGTTTTTCCCTAGGACATTGAAAGAGGAAAAGGGATTATATTGGAGATGTTGAGAGGAAAATGCTGACTGTGCCTTGAGCTCAAATTGGTTCATCTCTTTCAGCCATTAACTCCTATCAGAATCTTCATTCTCCATTTCTTCTCGAACAGGTGAGTGGTAAGACAGTGGAAAGGATACAGTTCCACAGTCCTCCAGTGAGAATCAAGTGAGCACTAACTGAGAAAAGAGACTGTTCCAAATCAAATAGGATCAAAAAGGAAAAGTGAAACCGAGTGAGGAACCTGAGGAAACACTTCTGCATTTCTCACGGACCGGGAAACTATAACCCTTAATTCCAGAAGGTTGCAAAAGAAGGGGAAGGGGAAAGGGTTAGGGTGTGACAACTTACTGAAAGTCAGTTGAACCAAATGCACAAAGGGTAGAAAACCCAGAGAGGAATTAAATGTGCAGAATATCGTAGAAGCTTCAATGTTGGCAGAGCGTCAGAGACTGGACAAGCCTTAGTGAGCCTCAGGGATTCCACATTTTCAGGAAGCCATATAGAATTATGGAAAGTAGGCAGAGCTGCAGTGCTGGTGGAAGTCTTATTAAACATCAAGAAACCCTTACTGGGGAAAAGTCATATACATGCATGGAATGTGGAAAGAGCTTCAGCAAGTGTCAACATCTTACCAAACATCAAAGCACCCACACGGGGGAGAGGCCCTATACATGCATGGAATGTGGAAAAAGCTTCAATGACAATGCAAACCTTAAAAGGCATCAAAGAATCCATACTGGTGAAAAGCCTTTTAAATGCATAGAGTGTGGAAAGAGCTTCAATCAAAGCGGACACCTTAGAAGACATCAAACAGCACACACTGGTGAGAGAATATACAGATGCACTGAATGTGGGAAGAACTACCCTGAAAATGGAAGCCTTAGAAGACATCAAAGAACCCACACTGGAGAGAGGCCCTATACCTGCATGGAATGTGGAAAGAGCTTCAACTGGAGTGGTCAGCTTACCTGCCATCAAAGAATCCACACTGGGCAGAGGCCGTACACATGCACAGAATGTGGAAAGAGCTTCAGACAGAGTTGTCATCTTCAAAGCCATCAAATAACCCATACTACGGAGAGACCCTATGCATGCATGGAATGTGGAAAGAGCTTCAAACTAAATGGGAGCCTTAAAAGGCATCAAATAACCCATACTGGGGAGAAGCCATATAGATGCTTCAAATGTGGAGAGAGCTTCAAGCAAAATGTAGTCCTTGCAAGGCATCAAAGAACCCATACTGGTGAGGAGCCATACAAGTGCTTCAAATGTGGAAAGAGCTTCAGCTGCGGTAATTCTCTTAGTAAGCATCAAACTACACATACTGGGGAGAAGCCATTCAGATGCATGGATTGTGGAAAGAGCTATACCGAAAGTGGTAGTCTTAGACTACATCAAAGAATCCACACTGGGGCGAGGCCGTATACCTGCATGGAATGTGGAAAGAGCTTCAGTCGGAGTGATTATCTCATAATCCATCATAGAATCCATACTGGGGAGAAGCCCTTTAAATGCATAGAATGTGGAGAAAACTTCAGCCAGAGTCACTCTCTTAGGAAACATCAAACAACCCACACTGGGGAGGGGGCATATAGATGCCTGGAATGTGGAAGCAGTTTCAGCCAGATTCAATTACTTAGAAGGCATCAAAGAATGCACATGGGCGAGAGGCCGTATATATGCATGGAATGTGGAAAGAGCTTTACTAAAAGCAAAAGTCTGAGAAAGCATCTAAGAACCCACACTGGGGTGAGGCCGTATACATGCATGGAATGTGGAAAGAGCTTCAGCTGGAGTAGTAGTCTTACAAGCCATTATAGAATCCATACTGGGGAGAAGCCCTTTAAATGCATAGAATGTGGAAAGAGTTTTAGTGAGAGTCAATCTCTAAGGAAACATCAAACAACCCACACTGGTGTGAGGCCCTATACCTGCATGGAATGTGAAAGAAGCTTCAGCCAGATTCAATCACTTAGAAGGCATCAAAGAATTCACACAGGGGAGAGGCCTTATAAATGTATGGAATGTGGAAAGAGCTTCAGCCGGCGTGGTCCTCTTAGAAACCATCAAAGAACACACACTTTCTAGAAGCCCTTTAAATGCATAGAATTTTGAAAGAGCTTTACTTAAAAGTGGAAGTCTTAGAAAGCTTCAAAGAACACACTGGGAAGAAGCCATATCAGTGCATCAAATATGGAAAAATCTTCAGACACTGTCAACATCTTAAAAAAATCAATGGGGTGGGGCTATAGAAATGTTTGCAGGGTGAAAAAAGATGTTACACGAGTGATTATCCCATGAAGCATCACAGTACAGAGACCTGTGATAAGCCTTTTCAATGCAACCTGTCTGGAAAGGGCTTCACTGAAAGTGGATGTCTTACAAACCTTCAAAGAACCAACCCGGGAACGTGGACGTCTTAGAAGACATCAAAGAATGTGCTCTGTGGATTGGCCCTATAGATGCATGGAATATGGAATGAGGAGCACTGCCAGTCAAAATCTTCATGAAAGAATCCAGGAGACTCTTGGCAAACTAGAACACAAGCCACCAGCAAAAGAAAAAAAATAATGAAGACATAATACTTTAAATAGAAAATAAAACAAAAGCAATTCCAATTAAAATAAGTTTAAAATTGCATGTCTTTCACCACGAGGACAGTAAGTCTGCATTTTTGTTTCTCATGTAAATTCTAAGTGTGTAAACGTACTGCTTGTCGGGCTCTATTCTTATTGAAATTTTCTAACTCCCACTGCCTCCCTTGTGGGGTGATTTTACAGAGGAGACCAGAGTCTGGTTGGAATTACTGAGAGATTTATTTACCTGCCGGCAGGGACCATGCACTCATGAGAGTGTGGTCCCGGGCAGACGAATGCAGCTAATTTTATACTCTTTTACAGCTATGCAGGTGCTTGAATGACAGCAGACAATGGGGAATCCCACTGAGTTACATTTGCACATTTTGCACCTTTCCCATGCTAAGGCAAGCAAGCGAGGTTACAAGGGCATGACACTGGCGGTTATGCTTGAGCGTGACCTGCTTTGTTCTCATCCTTGCGTAGCGTGCACATTCGTTGGGGTTCCTGTTCTTGTTCACGCGAACAGGACACCCTGATCATGCTTTCTTTTACCCGTGACGAGGCATGCCCTGGCTGCATGTTCGATTATAAGGGGGGTTACCACATTCCCTACTGGTCTTCTTGGGGAATCGAATCATCGAGTCAGCGAGCCGCTAGCGGATGCTGCTTTCAGCCCACACCCTGGCTCTGGCCTGAAGTGCCTGTATTTTCACAGCGTCAATGCGCTGCTTGACAAGGCGGGTAATCCAACGGAGCAGGAGGGGGCCGAAAGTACAGAAAAATAACAACCCTAAAAAGGGTCCTGCAAGGGAAGAGAGCAGGCTGCTCAACCAGGGGGACCAGTTGAAGAGGCGCTGATACCAGTTGGAACCCTCCTTGTGAGCTGAGCACCTTGTGTGCCATGTAGTGCTTGCACTGCTGGGAACGGACCAAAGAGACCCAGTCTCTCAGCGTCCTTTGCTTACTGGGGGGCCGCGGGCCCAGTCACGGCTCCAGGTGGTGCATGTACATTGGGAGACAGCTCGCAAACACCTCTAATAGGAGTCCTGAACTACTTCTTGGATAGAGAGGGCCACGCACCCCCACATTTCTGCACCACACAGAAGCTGTGGACGTCTCTTCCCCCAAAATAACCCAATGACCAGTCCAACCAGACCCCCACCTCATGTTTAAGAGACTGCATCGTAATGAGTGAGAGGATGGCAGCTCAGCGGCCCTCAAATGGAGGGACCGTGTGAGGTGGGCATCCCTACAATCAAAGGATAGAAGAGTTGGAAGGGGCCATGACAGCCATGCGGTAAATCCCCCACCCCATGCTCCTGCACGACACCATGTTGCTCCATCCCTTCTGATGGCCGTCCAGTTCCTCTCTGACTGTCTCTAATGCGGGAGAGCCCACCACCCCTCCAGGCAGCTAGTTGCACTGCAGATTGCTCTGACAGTGAGGAAGCGTTTCCGGATATCTAGCCTGCATCTGGGTTGTTCAAACAAGCCGCGTTGGAGAGGAGTGGTTCCGATGCAGGGAGTGTGGAAAGAGCTTCAGCGACAGGGGCAGCCTTATGGCACACCAAGATCCCACACTGAGGAATAGCCACACGAATGCTAGAGGGTGCGGAGCATAGAAACCTAGGAACAGAGCGAGTCAGAAGGGGTCTCCTGGGTCATCTAGCTTGACCCCAGGTTCCAGCCAGCTCCAGAGCACTTCAGGCAGAGTCCACATTTTGAGAATCGTTAAAACCAACACCAGAGAAAAGAGATCATCACCATATATTGTACATCTATCCCACCACATTAGCAAAAAGGCACTGTGAGGATATTACCGAGTTTTCATAGGATCGGAGTAGTTTCATAGGATCAGAGAACAGCAGAGTTGGAAGGGGCCAAGTAGACCCATCAAGTGCTCATCAAGTTGCACTTCAGCAACTCCCATCATCCCATTCAGATGGCTGTCCAGGTTGTTCTAGAATGTTGCTACTGTGGGTGAGCTCAGGACCTCTCCAGGCAGCTGGTTCAACTTGTGTATTGCCCTGACAGTGTGGATGCTTTTCCTGGTGTCCAGCCTGAACCTGGGTGGTCACTACCGGAGCTGTTTATTCCATGTCCCAAACTGTTATCAATGGGAAGAGACCCTGACCTTCCTCGTTGTGACAGATGGTGAGGTACTTGGAGAGGGATTTCATGTCCCTGCTCAATCTTCCCAGGGCTGACCATTCCCAGTTCTCCTGGTCTGTCCTCTTAGGTCAGTGGTTCTACACCCTGGGTGATTTGATCATCTGGAATTCTTTGTCCGGTTCTGGCACCAAGAGTTTGGAAAGACACACAATAGTTGGAAAGGATCCATAGAAGGATCACAAGAATCATGCAGAAGAGAAGACTGAGGGAAGACAGAATAGCACCCTGCAGTTACCCCAAAGGCTGGCACGAAGGGCAATGCCAAGAGCTCTCACTGGTACCAAAGTGCAGGTCATGGAAGCATCAGCTCAAGTTGCGACAAGCCAGGTTCAGGCTAGAGATCAGAAGAGTCCTCACCGTCAGAGCAACACAGCAGTGCAGCCCGTTTTCCAGAGGGGTTGTGGGCTCTCCACTCGAGGGACATTCCAGGCAAAAGGAGACAGCCATCTAAGTGGGATGGGGTGAGTTCGTGTCTTCCAACAGCAGAGACTTGGACCCGGTCACCTTCTTGGCCCCTTCCAACATGCCTATTCCATGTTTTTTTGGGAAAGGGACTTGAGGAACAGGTTGGAGGTGCTGTACAGCATCCAGGTTGTGGAGAATTATCCCTGAATCTGAGCAGAAACAGGAGAGGCCAGCAGTTCTCAAGTGTGTAACCCCCGTGAGCGCCTCCTCCTTGGACACCCGTCTCATGCAGGCAGAGGGACACCTTGCTGTGCCTGCCTTGGGGCCTGTGTGTGGGACAGATGGCATTTCAGAGGTAACCAGCAGGGAGGGCCTGGGTTCCCACCTCCTTCCTGGGAAGAAGGCTACTCATGAAAGTGTCTTCTTTATATGTAATCCACTCATTTATTGCATTTCTACCCTGCTCTCCAGCCAATCAGCTCCAGAAGGGCTTCTGTGGAAACTTGACCCAGTTCAGAAGGTCCAAATTGGCTGCCAGCTGTCTGGTCTCATCCAAACACTCCCCACCAACCAAATTATGGTGAAGGGGGGGGGGTGTCTCAGGAAAGGGCGAAGCTGGTATGGCAGAGAAATCAAAAGAGAGCCAGTGTGGTGTAGTGGTTAAGAGCCTGGGACTGGGACTCAGAGGATCTGGGTTCGAGTCCCCGCTCAGCCATGGAGCCAACTGGGTGACTTTGGGCCAGTCACAGTCTCTCAGCCCAACCTACCTCACAGGGTTGTTGTTGTGGGGAGAAGATGGAGGAGGAGAGATAATGTAAGCTGCCTTGAGCCCTTTGTAGGAAAAAGGCAGGATATAAATCGAAAAAATAAATAATAATAAAAGCACTGAGGCTGGAAGCCATATTTCATCTCCCAGAATGAACCAGGCCATCTCTGGGCGGGTTCCAGAGTCATGTGACTGGGAATGTCTCCTTTTGGGAACAAGGATTCCAACCTCATCCCTAGATGCCCTTCCCCTGCTTTAGGAATTGGAAGAACAGGCACCAGTGGGCTACAAACCTCTGTCCTTCTGCTCCCACCAACACCCTTCCATGCTCGGCCCCCTTCGCCCCCCCCCCCGCGATTCCCCCGCAGCCCTTCTCACGCCCTCCCTCTCTTCCCAGGCACGTCTCGCTGCCGGGAGACCACGAAAAGCCGGATCCGGATCCTGCACTTCCGGATGCGCCGCATTCCCCCTGGTTTTGCACGGGGAGGTCTCCCAAAACGGCAAGGAAGATCGGGACTTATCGCCCGCATGAACCGAGCCACAAAACCAGGGGAGCCAAAGGGGGATCTGGAGAAATATTCGGGGAGCCTCTGGATAAGGGACCCACAGGGCCTGGGACCCGAAGCGCGCCCCGGTGCCAGTCCGAAGAGGATGGGAAAGGCCGGCCCGCACGGCCCCCAGCCAGGGCGGTGCGATAGCGCCTCTCCCTCCCACGCCCTAGACCCTCAGGAACATTTGCCTGGCCGGGAAGGAGGCGTCCTGGCCGGCGAGACTCCTCTCCTCTGGTAGCTCCTTCCCCGTGGATGCGTCTAGCCCTACCCCCAAATATGTACGGATTGGGGGCGCCCCGAGGTGTGTGTCAGGTCCTTCACGAAGGGCGCAGCGGGGGCCCTGGACTCCTGCCGCGGCCACGCAGAATCGCTGGCAGGGGGCGCTGGAGGGAGAACGACCGCGGACGGAGGGGAAGGGGCAGGAGGGGGGCGCGTTGGGTGGCGGCGCCGGGCACTGGCGGCTGGGGGAGCTCGAGGCGGGAACAGGCCAGCGCACCCCCCGCGCACGGAGAGCGGAAGAGGCGGCAGCTGGTCTGGGCATGCA